CGCAGTACTTTAGACAGGCGGAGTGGAACAATCACAAAACGCATTGGTACGAGGCCGTCAGCTCTGCACTCAACTTTCCATTTTTGAAGGAAGTCTCGCAGAATTGCTTCATTTTGACGTTGTCAAGTTCAAGAATTGAAGAAGTCTCGCAGAATTGCTTTGTTTTGGATGTTGTCAAGTTCAAAAAATGAGGAGGTCTCGCAGAATTGCTTCGTTTTGGATGTTGTCAAGTTCAAAAATTGAGGAAGTCTCGCAGAATTGCTGCGTTTTTGATGTTGTCAAGTTCAAAAACTGAGGAAGTCTTGCAGAATAGCTTCGTTTTCAAGCTTGTGGATAGACAGATAGATAGAAAGACAAGTACATCTGCAACTACAACTACAAGTACCACTACACTACACTACTCCAACTACAAGTACAAATATACTACGCTACATTACACAACACTAATTCCACTACGCTATACTAATTACATCTAATTACACTACACTACACAAATTACACTACAACTACTACAACAGCAACTACTACAACAGCAACTACTACTACTACTACTACTACTACTACTACTACTGCTACTACTACTACTACCACCACCACTACTACTACTACTACTACTACTAGTACTAGTACTAGTACTACTACTACTACTACTAGTACTACTACTACTACTACTACTACTACTACTAGTAGTACTAGTACTAGTACTAGTACTAGGACCACCACCACCACCACTACTACAACTGCAACTACAACAACAACAACAACAACAACAACTACTACTACTACTACTACTACTACTACTACTACTACTACTACTGCTAGGACCACCACCACTACTACTACAACTAATACAACTACAATTACAGCTACACTACATTACACTACGATACACTAATTAAACTGCAGTACATTACAGCTACAAATTCAACTACAACTACAGCTACAACTACACTACATTACACAACACTACACTACACTAATTACATTACATTGCACTACAACTGCAACTACCACTACATTGCACTACACGACACTACACGACAACTAAAACTGCACTACTTTTCACTACAATACACTAGACTACACTACACGACGCTACACTACAACTAAAACTGCACTGCTTTTCACTACAATACACTAGACTACACTACACGATACCACGCTACAGTACACAACACTACAGTACACTACAATAGACTACACTAATTACACCACACCACAACTACAACTGCAACTATACTACACTAATTACACTACATTACAACTACAACTTAAAACTACAACCCCACTACAACCACAACTACACCTACAACTACACCTACAACTACAACTGCAACTGCACTACGCCACACTACATCCAGCAGTTGTGGTGAGGTGACCGCTGCAACCATTGCAACCTTTCCAGAAAACACTGCCATCCGTGATTCACAACAACCAACCTCTCCTATATGTTTCTTATTTTTGAAACTTCCGCCGCCGCCTTGCGCGGTACTACTGGTAGTTTCAAGGTCTTTTTCCCGGGTCCATCCTACGAGATCGGGCTGGAAAAGATGGCTCTCGGCTACGTGAGCCGATGGTTGGATGTCGGATATGGGTTTGCCCAAACAAAAGCACTCGAAAATCCACTGCTTCACTTATGCTAGATGGATCTATATGGTTCAAACACTGTTGACTTTCGGCCACATTTGGGATGATGCCCAATGAGCTTGTCTCAGGCTCAACCACCATCATTTCCTCCGTAAAACCTTTTTTTTCATCGCCAGAAAAACCATCCGGTGAGGCCGCGCCTTTCCCTTGCACTTTGGCTTGCGCGCCTTAGAGGCCGTTGATTGAGGCTACATTTAAGAACCTCAAAATTGACAAATCCGGCGGGATTTTTATCTTCCTGACCACTTTTTTTATGTTCTACCTTAAATTGCAAGGGGGTGTGCGGTGTATCCCAGATTCGCACAGATTCTGGATGCTTGGAGATGTGAGCACTTGCCGACATTTAGATGCAAAATGGATTGAAATATTATTGTGGAATATTAAGGATCCAAAAATCCAAAATGATCCAAATGACATGTTCAAAGAGGAATATAGTCGTTTGTTCCCAATATTCAATACGGCCCTGGAAACTATGGTTAGTATCGGATGTATTAATTCCTGGGGCCTATAGCAATTGGGGGTACTATGTTCAGGGATGCGAATTAGATGCAGCCTTGGGACCCATACGAACTGGCGTGACCGCAAAGCGCACGGCAGGTTTGCTCGAGGATTTGGGTTTGGACTGTGCTAGCATCCCTGTGACTTGGTTCTGGGTTATTTGGGGTCAAATTCCACCCCTCTTTATTTTTTTTCAACTGGTACTGGAATGAAGCATGAAGTCAGGTTCCTAAAAAACCATGGTTACAATTGTTTGGCTAGCGACTTTGCAGCGAATTCTCATCGTGATGTCCCACCAAAATTGCTGGACACTCCCATGTTCACTGGCAAATTTCATTGGACATGTTCAATGGCATAGTATATATCATTATATATCATAGTATCTAGATGTCATTATACTAGAGGAACACCAAAAACGATTCCGAACAGTGCCTTATCACACAAAATTGGTAGGGAAACAGCAGTCTTGAGAGATCAGGCTGTCGGAGCAGAGCCTCTTGGCTGGAGGCCGGGTACCAGCCCGTTAGGGGCTGGTCATTTCTTCTGGATCTAACACCCATATTTTTTTGGGATTTGAAACCAATTTGTTTGTTGGGGGGTTAATGATTCTTTGAGCCATGAACAAGTTGGGGAAATCCATTGGTTGCATAGCGGCTAGCGATCTTGTAATGCAAGCAGTGGCTCATGTATCATCTTCCATACTGGCTTCGATTTAATTAATACATTGATTCAGATGTGATGAGTTGACATCAACTTCGGAACCAGAGGCAATTTCCAATCTCCAAGACTGCTGTGTCCTATCCCTGGGCAATGTTTTTTTCATGGAGCCACAACTTTTGATTCAGATGTGATGAGTTGACATCAACTTCGGAACCAGAGGCAATTTCCAATCTCCAAGACTGCTGTGTCCTATCCCTGGGCAATGTTTTTTTCATGGAGGGATCATCAGCACGGCCATCGTCTTTGCAACGGGGAGCATCTCTTGTCACGGTCTAAATATGTCGAAATTGGATACTGTCCAGGAATCAATTAAATGGCACCTGGAACATCTCTAGGCAAAATCAGGCAGAAATTCTCTGGATTTTTCTTTCTTGCTACTGGGCATGTGAGATTCCCAGTGATCAAAAGATGTGATTTGGCCCCTTTCGAAATTCCATTCACTGTTGAAACAACATGATTTTTTAACTTATTGAAAGCCTTTCCCGATGGCTTCAATATACAAGATCCAAACAACTATACAACGACGAGCTGCTTCAAACATGGTTGGAAAATGCCGACATTTTTAGAGATTCTCCCAGCTATAAACCTGCACTTAGAGAGACTTGTCCAGTATTTGCAAGTCTGTCGCCATGGTTTTTCCATGGTTTTTGCCTCCAATCGGCATCTCTGCTGAAAGGCGTCCCAGTATTCCCACTGATTTTGCTGCTGGATTTTTGCCTCACGGCTGCTCAGCGGCAGATGGATCCCAGAAAATCCAGGATGGTCCGATGATGTTTTCTCCATTGTTTTCTGGATGTCCAAATTAATTCTATCCGTTCAAAGGGGGCTACCATGATTACTACCACCCAGAAGCCATGGTGGATGTAGGCGATGAAATCACAGATGACTGGAACGGCTTTTTGTGTCGTGTCAGCAGCTGGGTGCCAGAGTTTTCACCGAGAAGAGGCAACGAGGAGTTATGTCTTTCAACTAAAGACATTTGATTGCATAGTTATTACAACTGATTGTCAATTAGTTAAAAGATAACTGAATCAAATTGATATACCCTATTATAGCTAAAAGCAATTCTTTTGATGAGTTCTATTCCCAGCTGTTGCATCAATGACTCTCGTGTTGATCATCGTTGATCCTTTGTATTGAAGCTGTACTCCTTGGGGAACACTGTCCCTTTGTCCAAACCCAAAAGCCTCAGGCGTGCACATTTCTAGGAGGTCATGGGGCGTGCAAATGGATGTTCCATGGCTGCGTTTGAGATGAGGGCAGCTGAGATCTCGAGGTGCAAGCTCAACTGCACAGTTGCAACCTGACTTCATGGCTATAACCCTAAATTAAATGGAATACCTGACAAGATTTTGACAATATGTTTTATATTTTGTGTGCCCGCTTTCTACTCACAGAAAATGGGCTTAAGATGACTTAAGAAATTACATATTATGTATATGATTCACATATAGGTTGAGTTTTACATGATAATTTTGCAATATGTATTTAATAATATATATATATGTACATATTAGTGTATATACATATAATTAATATGGTGCCTACATATAATATACACAAATACTATTAATATGATACATAGCGTCATCCCGCTGCGCTACAGCTGGTAGCCATGATCTTTAAACAATCGCCAGATGGCTCTTAGCCCTGGGAAGCATGATGGCCAACCTCATGAAGTGCGGATGCCTACGGATGTGTGGGGATGGGATGTGATGGTAGGCTGTGTTTTCGAAAGATGTCTTGAATGGGATATTGGTATATATTGATTCTAAGAGCTCAAATATGTGGAAGCTTATCGGCTTCTTTGAGCCGATTTTTTTGGGTGCTTTGTCCAGTCCACTGAGCCGTGTTGACCAGCTGCTGTGTCTTGGCTCCAAAGATGCTGAAATTCCGTCACCCAGAGAACAGGAGCAAGCAACAACGAAGCTCATCCGATTTCAGCCGGGCCAAAACTCAAAACATGTGGCTCTCAAAGACGATTGATCCAGTGATAAATCAAACCCCAAGTATATAACTAATATAACTATTGATTTCTGATTGATTTGTTGCTCCGCGCTTCAGAATGTAATTAGTGCCCCCCAACTCACAATCGAACTCAGTAGACCGGCCAAGCACAAAACACATAGCCTGTCATGGCTTCGGAGGTTGGGAACCCGGTGGACACATAGCGGCTAGGTTGGTGATGAAATCAGGGAACTGCCTACTTGTTGAAAGGAGTGGAAAATGATGAACAGCTATGAACAGTGAATAAAGAAGGACTAATTAGAGATGGTGGGCATATATTGTTTTTGATTTCTGCCCATACTTGCTACATCTTTTAGGCAACCTTGATCATCGTGACTTAACCCAACTCCCTGATTGTTGTTGACTGTTCACATGAGCACTGGACAAACTTCACAGCTTTGGCGCCCCAGCCGATGTTGATGTCCATCGACTGGACTGGTCAGTGGTTAACCTCGTCACGTCATTTGTAATTTGTCCCATGAATTTCTTCAACTACCGATGATCCACCATTTTTTTTTACCCAATTCATCTCTCCATTAAAAAAACACACACACACACACATCCCTTCCCCCCCAGCCAACAGCCCCCACGGTCAGGAGGTGAATGTAGCGCTTCAGGCGCGTGATTTTTGTGCCGCTTTCTGATGGGTGACCCCTGTGAGTGGCGACATCTGGCGACGCAGCCCCGGGTAAAATGGTCCCAAAAAGAACACATCGCTAATCCATGATTTGCTGATGAGTTGTTATTGTCCCAATGCGAAATCCACTTGGGAATCTATATTGTTTATTTTTTGGGTTCCTTCAGCAAATCCAAGCAATAGTGAACTCTTTCCATTTCTGGAACGATGCTAGGATGATTAAGGGAAACATGAGAACATTTATGGTAATAAATTGGGATTGCAGTATATATATATATACACATTATACAATGAAATAAACCATCCCAATTTGGAGTTTATGAAATCGGGTATAGCCCATTTGCTACTTAAAAGACCCCCTATATAATATGATGGTTGTTCAATGGGATGGTTTATTAAGATGCGAGGTAAAGGTAAAGTCATGCAGGTCTGACTGGAGGAAAACTGAGTTCTGAGTCATCAAACATCGAAGGAGTAGGAGATTTGTGACTCAGGTGAATCTCAAAGCAATTTGTCCTTGCTCTTGGAATGATTCAGCGAATATCAGATCCCACTTGAATCCATTGCTTCCCCAAATTGCACATTGTCCAGGCACCTGCAAAGGGTCCGGCGAAAGGACCCGGCAAGGGCCCATCGAAAGGGCCACCAAAAGGAAAAGGAAAGAGCCCAGCAGCAGAGCAGGCAAAACCAAAGCTGTTTGGGTTGGTGTGTTTCTTTCATTTTTCGAGAGAGATGTTGAAATAGTGCAGCATCCACTATTGAGTGTCTAACATGATGTGTTAACTTGCTCCGTCAATGACCTTGTAATGACCTTGTAATGAGCCTTGAGCCTTTGTCTTCGGAACGCTCAGACCTGTCTGGGTGGTTTCCCTTGTGGTTGTCCCAATTATTTTCGATGTATGTCAGTTCTTTGGTTCGCAGATGTTCGCAGGCTTCTCCAGCCGTAGAAGAGCCCAAAGAAGAAGCAGCGCCAGAACCGAGCGAGGCAAAAGCAGAGGCCGTCGCAGAGGTCAAAGAAAGTGCAGAGGCCAGCCATGTGGTAAAGTTGCACATAGCTTCCCTTTCCAATAGTGTTGGTGAGTTGGTGGCTTGTGAATTCAGGTAATTTTGATAGAAGGATATAGAAGGTATCTTTTCAAAGTCCTCTGGAAACCTGCAAATGATTGGTCCATTTCCATCCATGTTTACATCTATTTGCCTCCACTAAGTTTAAGTTTGATTCAGTTTGCATGAGTTTCATTCAATTGTTATTCAACCATATTCAATCGTATTCATTTTCAGTATCTTCGGTGTCGATGCACTCTCAGGCACCCGTGGTTGCAACAAAAGGACCCGGCAAGGGCCCATCGAAAGGGCCACCAAAAGGAAAAGGAAAGAGCCCAGCAGCAGAGCAGGCAAAACCAAAGCTGTTCGGGTTGGTGTGTTTCTTTCATTTTTCGAGAGAGATGTTGAAATAGTGCAGCATCCACTATTGAGTGTCTAACATGATGTGTTGACTTGCTCCGTCAATGACCTTGTAATGACCTTGTAATGAGCCTTGAGCCTTTGTCTTCGGAACGCTCAGACCTGTCTGGGTGGTTTCCCTTGTGGTTGTCCCAATTATTTTCGATGTATGTCAGTTCTTTGGTTCGCAGATGTTCGCAGGCTGCTCCAGCCGTAGAAGAGCCCAAAGAAGAAGCAGCGCCAGAACCAAGCGAGGCAAAAGCAGAGGCCGTCGCAGAGGTCAAAGAAAGTGCCGAGGCCAGCTATGTGGTAGAGTTGCACATAGCTTCCCTTTCCAATAGTGTTGGTGAGTTGGTGGCTTGTGAATTCAGGTAATTTTGATAGAAGGTATCTTTTCAAAGTCCTCTGGAAACCTGCAAATGATTGGTCCATTTGCATCCAGTGTTACATCCATTTGCCTCCACTAAGTTTAAGTTTGATTCAGTTTGCATCAGTTTCATTCAAATGCATGTTATTCAACCATATTCAATCGTATTCATTTTCAGTAT